AGGCACTGCTGGATCTTTTTACCCTAAAACTATCAAGGATTGGAACAATCTTTCTTCTTGTCTGGCGCTTCAGAATAGCCATAAAGTCTTTAAAGTAATGCTGCGTCAGAACCTGAAATTGGATTAATATGTCTCATTGTCACTTGTCTCTAAATTGTCTTTGCCTGTTAAAAATGTATTCTCTTCTTTTTTATTCACTGAGGAACTTTATCTTTTGTTTTTTGATTATTTTAGAGGGCTCACAAGAGTATCTGGATCCACCAGATACCTAATGTTACTATTCTCTGTAACTTTTGTGTTTCCTGGCTAGTCCAAAATAAATTGAACTTGAACTTGAACTTGAGCTGTCCGTATCAAATTTGTACATAATGTAAATGAAACATTAAACCGATCGTCAACGCCTTAAAAAGCATCCATGACGATATGAAATCATTGAATAAAATTGGTGTTCAATTATACTTTAAGCATCACATATTAGAAAATGAAATCACTAAAATATATAACTGTTTATCAAATTTACACACACATCTACGCTCAATTCTTCAAGCAATACTTAATCGTGTGGTTCCTCCAACGTTAACAGTAAACACACAGCTTCAGTTAAATATTGATAAAGCATGTGCACTCATATTTAAACCTATTTTAACAAACAAAAAGCAACGAACCCTAGATCACATTCAGCAACAGCTCGGAAAAAATCATCTTCGACAAGAGCAACTACATTGACTAATAATAATGATAATTGTACTTTTGATTCTGAAAATGCGGTATCGCTTACAAATAAGTACAATCATGATCATCAACCAACCTTCAGGCCAGTATCATTACAGTATATTATAATGATAATTAGCAATAATGATAATGAAAACATAGATAAACTCAAAACTACCAATAATTTAAAATTACAGGTATTAGAACAAGTGTGGAACACGTCATCATTAGAAGACTTCAGCTCTTGTTGCTCATTTTTATGTAACGAAGTTAGAGATAAACTTCAGAATTTTGTATTGACTTCTGTTAACTTCATCATTACAGAAAACATCAGGTCGAAAAACACATTTCTGTTCTTTGTTTTTTCAAGAAAACTGTATCTGAATCCTTCTTTTCTCACGTAACTCTTTTTAATCAACACTATACCTGTGAATACATGCCGAATTAATTTTTCTGCTGTATAAATATATTGTCAACTGGAGACCTGCACGAGAGGAAAAACCTATATAACTCGCATCCTACCTTAACCAACGTTTGGTACCTGACTCGACCCGAGTGGAATAAGGTTCCAACCGTCGTAGGTACTCGACTCGTAGGATTTGAATCGAATTTTAGTACCCGGTAGTCAAGAACAAAGTGTTCTTTAAGTGTGCAGACTGTTGTATATAAAGAGAAATTTCTAAGAATACGTTAAAACTTACATACCGTGCACTCATGGACTTAGAATGTACTTGACCCAAGTACTTGGTTCAAGTAAATTACTTATCTAGTATCCAAGCCCCTGCGACAGTATTTATACTAAGTCCTTATCCAAGTCCTTGGTTACAAGAACATTCACGAGGGAGGGACGTAACGAGAATAATAAAATTCTCAAATAAAAATGATAACAGTGATAATAATACTCGACGATAACACCGCGAAAAATGTGTCAAAAAAAAGAATAAAATATCGTAGTAGCCAAAGACTAGATTCACATTTTGAAAAATATTATTGTACCTCACTCGATCATATTTTGTTCGAATGTTATAAATTTAATCTTAATATTTATTCTGATTCGTTGCAAAAGACGATAAGGCGCCAAATTCTGAGGCGCAGTGCCGAAAAAGAGTGTGATAGAACAGATTTGTGAACTGCACAAATATTATCATCTGAGTGGAATAAAATTCTTATAGATCAGTCACTAGTTTGAGAAAGAAAACTGAAAAGTAAGGTGTCGACAATGCAAAATTGAGGCAGAATTTCATCTTTAGATATTTCTACATGGTTGGATAGAGCGTATCGAGCTGAGTGAGAGAAAGCCTTTTTTTAACTATTTGATAGCGTTTTGGGAAAGATAAAAGTTTAGGAGTGTCTCGTTTTTGCACGATACATTTTCACAAGTTTTTTCTCTTCTAAAGGAAAGGTAGTGCAGAATGTTATGTTATTTTCTCAATTTTTGATGAAGAGTCTGTATATTACGATGTATCATATACTTGAACTTGAAAACTACACCCACGAATCAGTTTGCTTTTCCAATAATTTCACACAAAAAGTTGTGAAAGCTTTATCAAAGGGCTTTATTACTGATTTTATGTAAAAGTTCACTTTTTGTGGATGTTATTTTTTCTTTGTTAATTAATGTCTACTCCAATGTCGAAACATTTTCCTGTGGACGATATCTAATATTTCTTCTACCATCATTTATACCGAACGAGTTGATCATAGGCATTAAAACTATTTTTTAATAATAAGACTGACGGCTAGACAGAATACCATGGATGTATCATCTGTCCACTTTTCAGTTTCCAATCCCCACATTCCACCACCTTGCATATCACTGACGAAATTTTGTTCAAGGTAAGCTCCTGGTCGAAATTCAACATGTGCTCCAGAGCATTTCCGATCGCTATTCCGACCACTGAGTCTAGAAGTTTGTCGACTAGCTCCATATCGTTATCGGGTTTATTGGACGGACGAGATTTTTCATATCAAATGTCGGCTGATCTCACACCGATGAGAGTTAGCCACGCGGTTGAAGGGCTCTCACGCTCGGCGATGAACTAGTGGGTTGCGAAACACGTTGTTGATGACGGTCATGGTGTTATGGAAATATTGTATGATTATTCTTGTAGCGGCAGACATGAGTTGGTTTTCATTCAACAGGAGCGCTACTCTTCGATGAAAAAATGTATAACATGGTTATTTTGAGATAAAGTAAAAAATATTAAGTTGGAATAATGGTCCATGTGAATCATTACTCGTTTGGTTACTATACACCTGTAAAGTTTGTGCTTTTTCTTGAAGGTGATAGTATTCTTTTTCTCGTTCTGCAGCACATAATTACGATGATTAATTATACGATTAATATTATATATTAATAACTATAATATATTAATATTAATATTAATCACAATTTGCTATTAACATATTGCTTTTTGTCATATGTTTATTCTCGCTCATAATATGATTAAGGCTAGTGAATTACATGCGTATGCAGTACGTTTTTCATCAGTTCTTCACTTCATAGACCTGACGCATGATTCCTTATGACACAGAACAATCCCGTTGAGTAACATGTGATCCCGTTCTTCATAATAGTTCGGCAATCTTCAGTGCGTATTTTTCTAATACCGTTTCAGTACTGTTAAAATACGCTGGAACTAAATGCCAGGACTGAGTTTAGTCCTAGCTTATCCTTTCATTGCGTTAGTTCGAAATGTGAGAATAAAATATGGAATAAAGTTTAGTTTTATTCAACTTTTATAACTGAATAAATTACTTAATTAAAGTAATATATTGGAGGGACTCTGGGCTCCGAATTTACTAAGTACGATTTAAAGAAGATTGATCGACTCACCACTCAAATTACTTTCAATGTAAAACTAGTGGAGAAATTGGCATTCATGTTAGCAGAAACGATGAAATCATATAAAATACTACTTTTACTGTTCATGTGACAATATACTTTTACAGTCAATGCTTCCTCTATATCCGTTTCCGCTTAAAGTATAGTGTTTGAGGACAACGACTTCGTTATCAAAAACTTGATTATATTTGCAGTTGTTTTAAACCTCATTTTATTTAGCTGATATTTCGACCTTCAATCGATCATTTTCAAAACGTTACAAAACTTTGAATTGAACTGAATTTCAATTGAATTGTTTTGTGGTTATAATTTCTGGTATACATCTGCTAGCAACTCGCAGAAAATGATGCAAATAAGGTTACATACTTCGAAGACAGAACCGTTAGAGCTAATCGAACGAAGTATAGACACACCGGCGGCGCAATCTGAAGTTACCAGCATTGAGATGGTGATCTGAAGCCACTCGTGATGTCTGTGAGTTGGAATAGAAGCAGCTTCTTCTGGTACTCCGCGGTATACGTTGACTTCATCGGATAATTGCGCATCCTGATCAATTATCGTTATATCGTTTAGTTGCATATTGCAACTAAATATGCATCCACACAATTGACTGAACTTTTACCTTATTATGAAAACTTGTTGATCAAATCTATTTCTGCTTATTTCAAATAACGAAGATTGTCCCACGTTGTGGTTTTGGGTGAAAACCTTCGCTTTTCTGGAGCTAAGTTTAAAAATTCGCATTCGTACCCGAGCTATAATGGAAAACTTTTTAACCGCACTCAGTCTAAAGGTCGTACATCTTTACTTCACATCTGATTTGAGCTAAGTAACAGTTCTATTGAACGGATGGAGATAATCCGAAACGCATTTAAATTCTCGTGTACACTCTCCACTTTCTGCTTTTAAAATTCGTCGTCGTATTTATAAAATATATATTTTGTTATTACAAATAGAAACAAAAATTTCAAAAAAACATTTCTTCTTATTATATATTTAAGCAAAGCTGTCCCATACTAAGTTTTATTCGTTTTTCTATCCCTTTCACTTTATTTCACCTGCCTTGCTTCTCTTAGTACACAAAAAAATTAAAAAGCAAAAAATCGATTTAAGTAAGAAATGTAGCACTGCGACAAAATGCATGTTCAAGTTATCACTTAAAACACTACTCGAGCTTTCGACCTTTATTCAAGGGTCATCATCAGGAGTGAATGACAAAAAAGAAAAGGAAAAAGTGTACATATCAACAAAAACTTGAAGAAGAACAGAAAGAAAATGACAAATTGAATTGCTTAAGATATTACATAAGTTAACAGTCCGTCGTATGTGTGAGAAGAAATCTCTTTATTCTCACAAAGGAAGAATTTTTACGTATTAAATTGCGGAAGAAGAAAGTTGAGGAACAACCAAATTATTGTATTTTTCAACGACAATGCCTTATTAATGAGTTTAACAACAGACAAAATGATTATAAACGATTACAAAAGGAATCATCAGATATTTTGAATGAATTCAAACTTAATTTTAACGAAGATGAAATTAGATTATTTCAAGATCATTTGATTCGTATAACGTCGCGAGAGAAAGAGCGATGTATTAAAGTTCATATGAACAAATTGGCATTGTTAAATAATGGAAAACCTCTTGGACAGGATTATTTGAATTATAAATCACAATTAGTTCATAATCTTTCTTCCTATGTTTTAACTCCTAATAAAGAAAGACTTTTGCAACGTGGTTGGAAATTTTGCATTGAGAACAAAGTTAGTAATATGATGAATTTTATGACTGAAATTGAATTGAATGCTTACACTCGGAAGCCTGTCATTTCTGCTTCCGTTTTTAAAGTTTTTTGTCGTGATTTTTATGCAATTGCTTCACAAATGATGAAAGTTTCAAAGTGTAAAAATATCAGGAACGTTAGTGACGCTGAGTATGAAGCCATTCAATCATTGAAATCGAATATGGACATCGTTGTTACGAAGGCTGATAAGGGAAATTGTATTGTTATCCTTGACAAGAAAGATTATATCGGACGTGCTCGTGAAATCTTAGAATTAGATCAATTTGAATCGGTTACACCTAGGGATGGCGTGTTACATCTACATAATAGAGAGAAGCAAATG